TCCCAAAAGCGCGGGATGACAGGCTGCGCCACCGAGCCCGGCTACCCCTCTTATTTTCACATCTTTAGAAGCCGGGCGTGGTGGCGCATGCCTGCGGGTCCAGCTGCTTGGAAGGCCGAGGCTGCGGCAGCGTGCCACTGCACTCCAGCCTGAGGGGCAGAGTGAGACTCCGACTCCGAAAAAATTTCTTTAGAACGTGCCCGACACAGTGTTTCATACAGTTAAGACACTGTATAAACAAAGGACCCATGGATACTGTATTCAAAAACGTGTAGCAAACACGAAAATGAGTAAAATAATCCCGCTGCGGCGTGGGAGAGATGGAGACTAAAACTAGAGCGCGCGAGCACAAGACTGGAACTGCTTTTGATCACCAGCCAGCCACTGCGGGCTTGAATGTTCAAACATGACACCCGGTTGGAGGCGGGCGCTCGGGGGGGGGTGGCTGCCGAGGCCAAACAAGGTGGGCTTCTCGCCCGACACCCGGAGGCCCGGCGTCTGGCCGGCCATCACAGGTTACGACCAGGGGACGCGGGGACAGAGGCCCGAGCCCTCGTAGCGAGTGTGCGCGCAGGGTCGCCCGTGCCCACCCCGTCTGCGCCCTCTCCCCTGCCCCCACGGGGAGGACGAGGCTGCCAGGCGCTCTCCCCCCCCACCGCGGGCCCGCTCCGATCTGCACACGCGGTCTGCGCATGCGCGTCGCGCAGGCCGGGGAGCCGCGGCGGGGCGGAGCCGGGCCTCTCGGACCCGGCCCTCAACCTGAGCGCTGGCGCCGTGGAGCGCCGCCCTCCGAGCGCCGTCGGCCCGGGGCCGGTGAGACCTTGGCGCACACCCCGCGCCGTCCACTCCCGGGCGGGCCGGGTCGGGCGCGGAAGCAGCCGCGGCCCCTCCCTGGCCCAGCGCCTGCGGGCAGAGCTACAGGCGACGGGCGCGCGGCGATCGACTGCTCGGCGATCCCAGGCCCCGCCCCGCCAGGCCGCGGAGCTCCGAGCGGCTCGATGCGGGCCCGTTGCCGTCTCCGCCTGTCGCTGCTGGGCCGACCGCTCCGCCCCCGCCGCCCGCGCAGCCCCGGGAGTCCCCGGACCCCCAGGTACCGGCGGCCGCTCCCCGCGGAGGAACTGGAGGAGGAGAGACGCCGCGCCTGCCTCGCGGCCCGGGGCGGGGGGGACCCCGAGAAGGGAGAGGCCGGGCCGCGGATGCCGGCTCGCAGGAAGATAGGGCGGGGGTGCGCAGGTCGGGGGGAAGGGAGGTGCTCTGGGGTGGCGAGGGTG